CTCGTTTGGTTTAAGTACACTTGAAATGCCCAATTAACTTTAGTACCACAAGAGGGATTGATAAAGGGTCTAGCAATACCAACTTCCTGCCATCATGGCAATAAAGAAAGAATATCCGAAAGGACTAGCCGACAAGTAACTTTTGATACCCGAAGTCACATTTGCGACATGCATTGAGTCGTCAGGCTCAGTTTCGGGCAATATCAATAATCAGTTTAGACTGGTTGGAGGATGTTCGAGTTTTATATAGAAGTGATCCATTGGCAAAAGCAATCTTGCACCATGCGGAGTTGTTAAAGCAAAACTTTGGTAGCAAAGTAGCAAAAGTTGCTAGTCATGTCAATGTGAAGCTTCACTTATCAGTTTGGGATGGGTTTATTTTCTATAAGCAAGAAAGATTATATATTCCTTCCAAGGATTTACAACAGTTGTTTTTGTGGGAACATCATGATGTTTCAGTAGCGAGATATGATGGAAAATAAAAGACTCTTGCTTCATTGAAAAATGAATTTTTCTGATTTGGTATAGAAGGTGATATAGTAGATTATGTCCATTCTTACCCTATATGCCAGCAATGTAAGCATAGAACTGAGAAGCAGGCTGGGAAGTTGCAGTGCATTTCAACACCGGCATGGCCATTTCAAAATATGACACTTGACTTTATCACTTGCTTACTAAAGTCTAAAGGTTATGATATTTTATAGTGATTATGTATCACTTGTTAAAGATTCCACACTTCATTCCAACTATGGAAGAAATGAATGCGAAGCAAGCAGTAAAGCTTTTTTTCCATGTAGTAGTACAGATTTATGGTTTTCCCAAAGGGATGATCTCGAATAGAGATTTGAGTTTTATGGGGAAGTTTTAGGGCATATTGTTCCAGTTATTCGGTACCAAATTGAAGTTTAGTACAGCTATTATCCTCAAACTAATGGGCAGATTGAACGTGTGAATGCTCAAGTTCAGGATTATCTGCATTACTATGTCACGGCAAACCAACATAACTGGGTTGAGCATTTGGGTACAACAAAAATCTTTTATAACAACACATTTCACAGCACTATTGGCTATTCTCCATGGGAGATACTACAAGGGAATGTTCATGGGGTTTCTTAATAGATTGTTATACCAAAGCTAATGTCTGAAGTGTTGGTCTTAACTATTGAGACTTATGCGGAGCAACTACACTAAGGTTGGTCTATAGTTACTAAAGTGATTGGACAAGGCTTAGGATAGGTATCGACATGATAAAGATTAGCATCATCGGAATGTATCTTATCAAGTGGGAGACCAAGTGTGGTTATCTTCCCAAAACTTAAATATTAAAGGATCTTTGTCCCAAAAGTTATTACCAAAATATGTTTGGCCTTATCAAGTGTTGAAAAGAATTAGTGATGTCTCCTATTAGTTGGATATTCCACAAGAGATGTCCAAACTTCATGATGGGTTTCATGTTAGTTTACCCCATATCATGAGGATCCTAGCCATTCTGAGGATGTCCATCCAGCTCTAGATGTTGTTGATGGTGAACCTAAGTACGAAGTGGAAGCTACTTTGGGTACACACTAGGTTAAATGTTTCAAACATCAAGAGTATCTTGTTAAATGGAAGAGTTACCCAATGTGTGAATCTAATTGGGAACTGCCCGTGAGCTTGTTACAGAGTAAATAAAAAATAATTTTTGTTAAATCTTGCAAATCAATAAAGTAATATATTTCTATAACATCAAAAGATTCATTTCTCTCATTCGATGGTTCTTGGGTCAATGTCGGCAAGTTGACTTTGGTACTTTGGTGCATGGTACAATCTATAATCATAGGGATAACTATTATAGACTGATCACAAATCCCCACCTTTCTCTTGTTGACTCATTTTTGAAAGAAGCGTGATCATATAAACAACTTCATCTACCAATTTATAATATTTATCTAAATCTTCTCAACGGGGTTGATTTCTTGCTTAGGGGAGTTAGGCTTCTGGCTCCCTGCCTATGTCCCTACGGGTAGGAATGTATCATTCCTTTCTAAATTGAGTGGTATTTGGAGCAACAAGGGTGGTTAACTTTGTTTTGTCAGTGATGGCTAAAGCGTGTTTAAGTCTTAACGTCTTTGGATGTGAAGGAGAGGTAGTTCTATTACTCATGTTTCCCACATAGTGTCTTTCTATTAACTTTTGGAGTTATTTTTTTGACGGTTTGCTAGACTCATGTATACATTAATGAGGACATCCATCTTCCTTAAGGGGGGGAAAGTGTTGCAAATGTGACCTCAAGTAGCAAAATATACTTGTCAACCAGTTCTTATAGACACTTTCTCTTACTGCCATGACGACAAGTGGTTGGTACTGCTAGTTCATTTATCAGCCCCTCTTGTCCAAGTGTTAATAAACTAAATTTAGCATTTGTATTTGGTCAGATGAACATAAGGAAGAAATTCCTAAATGTCTATTTAGCCAAGCATACTTGGCCCGGTTTGTTAATTCTTTTTTGCTCTATTTTGCACTAGTTTGGCAAAAATCATCATGTATTGAGTCCAATTCTTTAATATTGCTATATGATAGCTTACCATGTCCACCAAATACCCTCACTATCATGCCTTATGTGTTGGTTTTGTTTCGGATGCATATACTATTTATGGTAAGTGTCTAGATTCACCTAAAAGGCATATCTATAGAATGTAGAGAGTGTTATAAATTTTATGATGTTGTTCTTGCTCCTTGATTCATGATCTAACATCATCCCATATTTAGTAAGTTTTTATGCTTATTCCAAAGACTAACTCCTGGTACTAGGGGTGAAAGCCCAAAGCATGTATTCCTCAGAGGGGGGATATAGGGGGTTTCAAATGTATATTAGGGATAATGGTTAGAATGTATGTCCGACCATTTAAGACATTAGTTTGGTTTCCATTAGGCTGTATCGCTCCTTGTTTTTTGTCTAACTTGGGTTTAAACCTAAGCTTCATGCTGCTTTAGTCAGTGGAGTACCCTCCTCCTCACATTAGGTCACTAGTATGCCAAAATCGTGCCAGACACTATCTTTGCATGCAAGTGCTAGATATGGGGAGCTGGTACTTGTACAATTGTATCAAACTCTCATTTTATAATGTAATGGGCTTGGGGTTTAACTCCAAATTCAGATACACTACATCTAAAAGGACTAGCCAACAAGTAACTTTCGATACCCGCAGTCATATTCACAACACTAGAAACCTATTAATCTCCATATAGAAACTCCATACTAGTGACCTAAGATTCATCGATGGAATCATCATAATATTGTATCTTGGAACTTAATCCTCTCTTGCTATGCTTAGAATGGAAGAAGCGAGAAGTCTTTTGAGATGTTTCAGGAGAAGAGGCTAGATGGATCTTGTCAGCTAGACACCATCACCTTTAGCACTCTACATTATATTTTGTTTTATATATCATCCTCTGTTGTAGAGAGGATGCTATATTGGGGCATATTCTCAAACACAAGCCCACCTTTTTTTCTACAATGCAATGTATGTTTATGAAGGTCTAAGATGACTTTTACTAATGGTTGCTACCTAAACCCTAAGTTTTAATTTAGTAAATATGAAATGGTGAATTGGGTTTAGAACACTTTTTACATTCTATAAATATACCTATTAGACAGATAAACAGTTACCATAAATAACACATAAAGCAACATGATATAATGCTAGTAAATTTATATGAAACACATAATTTACCTAAGACAACTCATCTAGAGGATTCAACTTATAGAATACATCACCAACTTGGTTCAACACTTAATAAGGACTAACATATCTTTGTAATAGCTTTTGAAACAAAAATCCCTTAACATTTAAGTTTTGTAAGGATAATTAAATTTAATTTCCCACTTGATAGGTTATGTTGATCTTTATCACGTCAATACTTATCTTGAGCTTTACCCATTACTTCAGTTGTGCTCCACATAAATCTCAATGGCTATAGATTTTACTGAAGTAATCTTATATTTCTATATTACCATACATAAAATTATGGATAAAATTTTAGAATACATATAATATCTAAAATTTATCCATAAATAAATAAAATTTCTTGTTATATTATTTATGTGTTTGAATTTAAATGTTTTATTACTTTTTTTTAAAATAATTTTTAAAAGTAAATGAACAGAAAATAAAATAAGTGCTAGTGTGTTACTATTTCATTGGATGCTTAGACAAATATATTTTTAAGAAAAAAAAATTTCTCTTGAATTTTCTATTCTTAATAGTAGAGCATTTATTCAATTCAACCCAAATAATTAGTTTATTTTCTTATTTTTTATTTTTATCATTTTAAAATACAAAACTTATGAATTATCATTAATTAAATAGATGTTTATAACAATTGGAACATGGTCTACAACACGTGGCAGCAGACAGTTGCCCGTGCAGCCCCATCTAAAAATAATTTTAAATCTATAATTCTTTTTTTAAATGTCATAAGCATATAATATTTCTTTGCAATAAATAATTTACATAAAAAATTAGCAATTTGTAAAGTATGCTACTTAGTTGCATACATTCTAGCTTTTTAAAAATTCTCCATACAGAATTTTGGGGGCCAGTCATAGGCTTGGCTCGCAAATCCGATCGTAGGAACAGTGACCGAGTCCCACAACTGTGGTAGTGTCTTCAACAAACGGGACTGGATCATTTCTTCGGCATCAGCGTTTCGATTCACTTTCACTCCACCACCCCGTCTCTATGGCCATGAACTATGTATAAACTCATGAAGGAATATTTTCCTCTTAAAGAATGAACAGAAAGTAATTTCACAGCTGCAGCCAAAAACACAAGCACAGAATGCTTAAACTCAAGACAGCAAAACTTAACCAATCTACTTCTAAGAGATGACGTTATCACCATTTCATGAGATTTGAATTCTGGCTTTCCCCCGATCTTGGTGAAGCTCGTACTTAGGCAGAAAAATAGGGCATACGTTTTAACACCGAACTGGATCACTCCAGTGCTTGGACGACTAGATCAAGAATGTTCGCTGATATTTGTAAGTGTAATATCACTTAATTTATTTCTTTTCCCGAGTGATGAATTTTCTGAAGTATACACATTTCCCAGTTTCTATTGGCTGATTTTCCGCTTAGCATCGTCGGCAGTCTTCTTAGCATCCTCGCTCACGTTGCTCGCACCCTTCTTCAGAGAGCTGGTGGCATCGCTAGCCTTGTCCTGCGCCTCATCGCCGCTGCCCTTGATCGCCTCTCCAGCGCTGTTTAGTTTGCTCTTGACGTTCCCGGCCGCATCCTCGAACGCTCCAGTAGCCTTATCCTGGATCAAATCCAACACCCATCACCTCGCGTCACAGAGAGGAAAACAAAGGAATGGGATTTCGACTAGACTTACTTTCCAACTCTCAGCGTCACCTTGTAGATCGGAGCTCTTGCCCTTTGCGTCTCTCTCAAAGTCCTTGCCCTTCCTCTGGACATCGTGCTTCGCAGAGCCAGCAGAGTCGGCCAAATCGTCGAACTTGTCCCTGGCACCGCTGGTTGCGTCCTCCGTCTTGTCCCTGGCGTCGCGGGAGGCCCCTGTGACGAAATCCGAGGTTTGATTTGCGGCATCCTTCACCTTGTCCCCGACTTGAGATGCAGCGTTCTTGACATCATCCACAATCCCCTGCGCGAGAAGAGAGGAATACAAGTTAGACTCGATCAAAAGATCATCGCATTGATCGATGGGAAAACAGAGGGAGAGTAAACTCACATCATCGGCCGCCCTGACGATGCAAACTCGAGATCTTTGCCTCAAGCTCAACTGTGGAAATCTGGCTGCTCCTGTGCTGACGCTCCCGCGGCCAAAGCTGCTGTGACTCGGTGGTGCAACGCTGATGTTGCTCGCGGCTAGATTGCTCACGCTCGTCGTCATCGCCAATGCCATTGCGTGTAGGAAAAATTGCAAAAGATAAGACTGTGTAGTGATTCACGAAAGATGAGATGTGATCGCGAAAACTGGATGAATGAGAGTTGCGTTGGAACAGCGGGATATATAACAGCGTGAAATAAATTTCAGGAGAATTTAAGGCTATCGACACTTGGAAAATTTTACAGCAGGTTGTGGCGATGCAACACGTTGCCACGTCCAAAGCTGGCCATGCAAGAGACGCGTGTCTCTTGTAACATGAAAGTCTCGATTGAGATTTTAACGCATGTGAAAAAAATCAAATTTTACGTCAATATCAGGCATGTAGCATATTCGTTCGTACATTCTTGTAACCCCTAGGTCGGGGGATCGAAACCCCTCATTGAAAATAAGACAGGTCGGGCGATCGAATCTTCTCTGCTGGAATGGATGGCCGACGCTTCGGCAATTCTCAAGCTGCTAGATTCTTGCCGGAGCGTCCCCACTCTCCACGGATCGATCGAGCCCTCACTCGATCTCTCCGGCAATACATTCCTCGCCAACAAGCTGATCGAGGTCTATGGCAAGCTCGGCAGCTCCCGGCATGCCCGCCGCGTCTTCGATTCGCTCAATCGCCGGGACCAGTTCTCCTGGGACTTCATGCTGCTCGCGCACACCAGGAATTTCGAGATCGCCGACGCCGCGGATCTCTTCCTCGCGATGCCCCGCAAGCGATTGATCTCGCACAACATCCTCCTCTCCGCCTACACCCGGGCCGGCGCGATCGAGGAGGCCCGCCTCCTCTTCGATCGCATGGCGCAGCAGACGCTAATCTCCTGGAACTCCATGCTTGCGGCCTACGCCCACGCCGGGCACCTCGAGCGCGCCAAGAACACCTTCGATTCCATGCCCGAGAGGGATCTAATCTCCTGGAACACGCTCCTCTCCTCCATCGCCCAGCAGAGCGATCGCCCACACGACGCGATCGCCCTCTTCCACACGATGCCGCAGCACAATCTCCTCTCCTGGACCGCGATGCTCGTCGCGAATTCTCGCCAGGGATCGCTCGACACTGCAAGAGCAATGTTTGAATCGATGCCACAGCGCGATGTTGTGGTGTGGACGACGATGCTCGTGGCTTATGGCGAGATCGGCGATCTATCCAGCGCTCGCTGGTTCTTCGATCGAATGCCCGAAAGAGATCTAATCTCTTGCACAGCGATGCTAACAGCATATTCCCAAAACGGGCAAATAGATCAAGCCAAAGCACTGTTTAACTCGATGCCAAACATAAACATGGTTGCCATCACTGCGATGTTGGTTCTTAGCGGACAGACCGCATCTCTCGCGGATGCCGAGAAAATCTTTGACCGGGTCCCGGAGAAGACCCTAGTATCTTGGACTGCGATGCTCGCAGCATATGCCCAGCACGGGCATCTGGAGAACGCCAAGCAAATGTTTGATTCCATGCCTTTCCACAACACTATTGCCCACACCGCAATGCTCGACGGATATTCCCTGCGAGGGAATATGCTCGCGGCCGAGGAGATGTTTGATACCATGCTGGAGAAGAACACTGTCGCGTGGACGTCTCTTCTCTCGGCAAATGCTCACAATGGAAACCTGCGAAGAGCCACGAAGGTTTTCTCGACAATGCCGGAGAGGAGTTGCAATACCTGGAGTGCGATGCTGGATGCTCTCACGTTTAAGGAGCGTTCTCTCCAAGTTTTTGATGTCTTCCACGGCATGAAAACGATGGATTCGCCTGTTGATGCGAGCTTCACGTCGGTTCTCATTGCCTGTAGCCGGGAAGGCAAAGTCTACCTGGGAAGATCCATCTTTGTGTCGATCAGGATGGACTTTGAGCTCCACCACCGCAGGCAGCACTACGGATGCATGGTCGATCTTCTCGGGCGCGCTGGATATCTCAATGAGGCGCTGGAGCTCATCGGGAGCATGCCTTTTGTTCCGGAAGTTTGGGAGTGGACGTCGTTTCTATCCTCTTCTCGCCACCATAACAATTTCGCACTGGGCGCTTATGCCGCGACAAATGTTCTTCGTTTGAATCCCAAAAGCAATGCCTTTGCGCTCCTGGCAGAAGCGTGTTCCAAGCACCACCAAGACTTAGACTCTCCACTTTGAAAAACACAAGCTTACCAAGTTTTTCCTCGCAAAAGAAAGAAAATCTTTCGTTCTTTAAGACGCGGGCAGAGGATGGACGGTAATTTTCTCCTGGTATGTTCTTCCGCGCCTCTAGAAAGCCCGACGGAGAAGCAAGCTGACTGTTAGAAGTAAAAGGAAGCTCTCACGTGATTACCATTGATGAGCTATTGACTTTGATCGTTTTTTATACGCCGAGTCCAAGTGAAGAGCTGGTTCTTGCACGATCTTGATACAATAAGCTTTAGCCAGTTTGCCTGCACGATCAAATCGGCTATGATCGCAAGAACATTATAAAGAGGAGCTCCATACCTGAGTGAAGAGCAGCCAATGGATCGCCTACACTTCGCTTGGTGCTTGGTATTTTTCTTTCTCGCACAAGTTAGCAGTGCTTCATCTGATGTCTTCGATCCGATAGCAGTTCCTGATATGTGCAAAAATGCCAAATATGAAAAGCTGTGCCTAGAGTTAGTAGCGCAGAACCATACCAAGGATGCTCTAGTAAGGCAAGCAATGCTCCATGCCAAGGACGGGCTCCAAGAGCTGAGGCATTCCTGCAAGAACATGAGCAGCAGTTCAGATCACGGCGAGGGGAAAATGCATGCGGCTCTAAACGACTGCTCTGGGCTGCTCGAAGATGCGTCGGAGCTTGTAGATGACTGTCTCTCTGAAGGCTACTATTTCTCTACGACGGCCAAGCTGGAGGACATCCAGACATGGATGAGTGCAGCACTTACAGATTGGGATACATGCATAGACGGCTTGAAAGACGCTGGAAGTAGCGGAAAATCTGCAGCACGCAGACTGGAGAAACAAGGAGCCGAAGTGAACACCATGATCAGTACAGCTCTTTCTCTAGTTGCTTCAATGTACCCACCTGGAACGCACCCAAGTCGGTCTTGGCTGAGAGGAAGAATTCTAGCAACAGCATCCACACCATTTCCAAACGTCACCGTTGCAAAAGATGGAAGCGGCCAGTTTTCCAGCATCTCGGCCGCCATCGCAGCAGCACCTACACAATCAAGAACGAGGTATGTCATATATGTGAAACAGGGAACATACGTTGAGAGCTTCGAGGTTCCAAAGTCAAAGCCCAATCTAATGCTCCTCGGAGATGGAATCCGCAAGACAATCATCACAGGCAGCAAGAGCGTCCAGAATCCTGGAGTGACAACTTTCACCTCGGCAACAGTGAGTAAGTGATAGAACAAAAAACAAGTTCTAGCAAATCTAGAACTACGTATGAACTGACAGATCTTTTCAGTCGTGTCGGGAAACAATTTCCTGGGACAAGGGATCACCGTCCAAAACACGGCAGGAGCAGTCAATCACCAAGCAGTAGCACTGCGAGTCACCGCAGACAAAGTAGCCTTCTACAAATGCTCCTTCGAGGGATTCCAGGACACACTCTACGCGCACTCTCTCAGGCAGTTCTACAGCCAATGCCGGATCTATGGCACGGTCGACTTCATCTTTGGAAACGCGGCAGCCGTGTTCCTCAACTCGGAGCTCGTCGCTCGAGTTCCAATGACCAACCAAAAGAACACTTTCACAGCACAGGGAAGAACTGACCCAAGCCAAAACACGGGGTTTTCGTTCCAGGGATGCACCGTGGATGGCAACGCGGACCTCAAGACCGCGATCCGGAGCTTCCCAACGTACCTGGGCAGGCCGTGGAAGGAGTACTCGCTCACCGTCTTCCTCAAGTGCTACCAGGGGGACGTGATCAATCCCGCGGGATGGCTGGAGTGGGACGGAGATTTCGCCCTCAAGACGCTCTTCTACGGGGAGTACCAGAATCAGGGCCCCGGATCTGGAACATCGCGGCGCGTGTCGTGGTCGACGCAGATCACTAGCCAGGACCAAGCGAATCGATTCAGCGCTCGGAATTTTGTGGCCGGGCAGGAATGGCTGCCCCAGACGAGCTTCCCATTCCAGCTCGACGTGTAAGCCCTGGGCTCCTACTGTTTGAAAGTTTTTTTTGGGCGGGAAAAGTTTAGGGTTCTTCATTTTCTAATTGCCTTCCCACAGAGATTTGCCACGGTGGGACAACTGCCACGAAACTTTAGGATGAGGATTTGATAGTTCTCAGCAAGCCATCAGGATTGGTCCAAGTACTACTGTCTATGAATTATTTTCTTTTCAGGGTGGAAGTGAGTCTAGTCTCCATGATGAGCTTGGCTCTTCAGTTCGAGTACAAAGAGCCTCCAAGACTGGTACTCTTTTGCTATGAAACGTACAATGATCTTGCTAACGATGTAGGCTCATCGTCTCGATGAGTCTTAGGCGGCACTGTGAAGACACTGAAGATCCAGAGCTTCTTAATGCTCAAAAGACACATTTCTGTCCTAGGCAAAGACACTTTATTAAAGTTACATTCCACCGGAAATACCTAGCTCTAGTGATTGGCGCTCCCATTTCAGCTCCTCTTCTGAAGGTACTACGCTCTCGTTTGATTGCTCACAGATGTGAAAGTGTTGCACAGATGGTGCTGGAAGATGGAAAATCCGGGCTGACCCCAAGTCCCAAAACGCGACCCAAGAGTATCAGGTTTTGAAGCGTTGTGAGGGGACTCTTTGCGATTGATTTTTTCGCTTGTAATTACCTTCTTTCCCTGTACAGGGCTACAACTACGTCCACATTCATCCAGCTCCGCGTGCACTGTGCCTTGGACTTCGGCGGAAAGAAACATGAACGCGGTGGACCCCAAGACATCAAAGCGTGGGAGGAACAAGACATCTCCACACAAGGGAGCTTCCCATCTCCCGCCTGCGGAAGAAAGCAGGCGCGGTGGACTTCGGCCTGAACCCCGAGCGGATGGTGAAACTTGTTAGTTAACTCTCTCAAGGTTGATCAGCACAGGCGTGCGGTGGAAGTATCTGTTCGTGACCAGAAGCCCAATGTGGTGGAGGTGGTCCCTTTCCAGCTCCTGTACCATTTCCTGATCCATCTCCTGCCAGTGGCCAGTTACCCGAACTTTAACACCACCAAGGCTAAGCGCCTCTCCCACCTTGTGTCGCTCATCTGAGAACACCACCAGCCTCTTGTAACTTCGAAATAGCTGCTTCCAATATGCTCCACCTTTTCCTCCTCGTCGATCGCCACCTGGTGGAGCTGGCACACACCTTCCAGCGTCACCCTCGCCGGCTCTATCCGCTTGCAGCCTGCAGGTACAGGAGGAGAGTGCACAGAAATAATTGCATCCTGATGCCGATACAGAACAGCCTTCACCTGCGAAAAGCAAAGTGGATTTAAAACACGGCGAGAGAGCTGAAATTTAAAGTTGGCATGACCATACCTTATGAGCAGGCAGCTTCTCAACCTCCACAACGAGCACCCGGCGCACGTCTCCCACCTCCATGCTCAGGAAGGAGCTGGGTGTCCCAACCAGAACATCACAACACTCGAATCCTCGAACACAACCATCACGGTTCAGAAGATAATATCACTCAATCCAGGACAAGCTGCAGCTTCTGCAAAAACACTTGAAAGATTAGAACGGGTTTATAACGCAGCTCAGACAGATGCTCGTGTAAGACGGCAAGAAACTCACCGTCCATGCGGGCTGGTGGCTTAACCAGGCCGTGAACTCTTCGTGGCTTTATAACTTTGCGTGGAAGGCAGGGGACCTCAGTGACATGAAAGAAAGTGAACAAGACATCCTCAAGCTGCATCGAAGAGAAACGAATTCTAGACACGGATTGGATAATTCTCAAAGAAACGGGAGCGGACGGAATGTGTATATGACCAGCGCAGCAAAGGTGCAGCCAAACATTAGGCCTGATAACGCAAACTCACAAGCTTCCTCTTGGGTCGCCAACACAATGTCTAGACCACGTATCATCCACTCGTGCTGCTTAACGTTAGGCGAGGATACCAGTCATGTAGTGTGGACATTCGAAGGTTTTGAACAGTGGATCCCGTGATAACAAGCACCCCTTGGTCATGCCAAAATACCGCAGCAGCTCCAGGCTCCTGAGAACAAACGGAGTGTTCCTAATATTAGCTGCAAGCACAAACGCAGAGCACATTCTTAGCAAAAATCGATCGATCTTATTTGACATACCGCTTATGTACTTAGTACAAATACTCACGACAGGAACCATACATCTGCGCACCCAAATCCCCCAAGCTTGCAGAATCTGGCGACTAGTGAAGCAATCGGTGAAGACTGCATCATCGCTGCAGGCTCTGTGCAGAGAAGCAGGAGCCGCCATCGCGCTCCCGATGAAAAACGCAGACATCTGGATGGATCGAGCTGCTGTGTCATATTTTAGGTTGGTGGAGTCCGTTTAGCGGCTAGAGCTTCCGTTCTTTGCAATGCACTGTGCCCCACGGACTTTCGGCTGCCTTGATGAACACAAATGATGCTTGAGCCATGCCCCCATCATTGATGGTATTCGGGTAGCACAGCGACAAAACAATTCGGAAGTACACATTTACTAACAAGATGTCTCGAAGTCTTCGGACTTCTGCTGCCAGATTCGATCTGTCTTACTGTTTTTCTTGCAGGTTGTGGTGACCGACATGTAAGAGAATCCTGAAACACCCCATCTTATTACCAGTGTTGCATTTCCAGGCCAGCTTATTCAGCATGACAGAGATTTTGGACATTCAACTCAGGGACAGATGTAGCTTTCTTCCGGTTTTAGACGATGTAAGTTTCCAAATTTGTGACTACAGAGCCCACAAAACATTAGTAGTGAACTTTCCAAACAGCAGACCATTCTATTTTGCTAGTAACTTTGCTTGCAAGCTGAACGTCAGCAGGCCATGTCAGAGCACCTTCCTACTTTTCCTGTTCATCAGAAGTCTCTCCGATACTGGTGAAACTGCCTTTCACAGTTATCAGATACAGGCGTGGTGCAAGAGTGGAGCTCCTCCAGAAACTCTTGCAGCTTAGCCAGCTCTTTCGGAGTCACAATGTTGATAACGACCTTTGCACCGTATGTGCGATCAATGCCACAGTATGATGAATGCTTTGAGCTCGGATCTCCCCACGTTTGCCTCGCCCCTCCCGGTGCTGGCGAATGCAACAATCAAGATCGTCTGCCATGCAAAGACAAGAAAGAATGCGTAAATTGGCCGCTCACGTTCCAAGAGCTACATTGGATGGATTCTCAGTTTACCTGGCTACGCTATACTTGCGATGTTGGCGAGCCACAGCCACTGAACCGCCCAACACTCACACTCGTAGCCGCACAGCCCATGTCGTGCACTTGCTCTTGCTGTCGCTCGTGGGTGGAGCATATGTTTATAATTTATAAGCACAAAGTTTTTGTTTTGGATTCTCTAGAATATTCTTAATAACTGCGAATCGTTGTTTTACATACATACCGGTAAACGAAAGTCAAAGAAGGTGGTGAGGAGGTTTCGATCCTCCGACCCGTGGGTCACGTTAGAGAGAGTGCGATGGATGATCTAGCAAATGAAGTGCCGCTGATGATCAAGGGCCTTGTCGGCGGCCATCACTTGCACAGCAGCGCCAAATCCTCCACCGCTACTTCGCCCTGGGTTGCAAGTTCTACAACATTTACATCGAGACCATGTTCAACTATCCATTTAATATTTTGAAGCAGGTTTTTGGTTGAGATGTTTTCAGGGGTAATCTCATGTTTATAATTGAGGTGCCTTGCAAAGTTGTTGGTTACATTCCTCTAATCTAGCAAAATAATATTAACAAACTTAATAAGAAGTAGATGGAGCCAAGCAATACAGAAACTGGCCGCTGTCTTCCTCGCTCACATCCATTCTATACCACTGGAAGCTAACCTGGTCAAATGCAAGGATTGCCTGGTCCATAAGGATAGCCATGTACTTGCACCCTTTGGCATGAGCAGGATACATGGATCCCACGTAATTATCCGGATTTCCGATACCTTTGATTGTCCCACCGGTAAATCTCAACCTGATCATCCACAAGCGGTACAGCATAGTCCCCAGAATACACAACCAGGAGCATGAGCTCATTGTGGAAGCCTTTGAAGCACCGGCAAATGCCATTGGGAAAACCCCAATTCTCATACGTGATTCCCTCAGGCTTTGTGAAACCGGGGTGTTGATACAGCTTATCTTCTGCAAAGTCGTATACATCTCCCAGCGGAGTTGCAACACGGTTGTCTACATGGTACGCGGCTTCCCAGCCCCCTTTTTCTATACGCTCCACGCGGTCGCATGAATCCATCTCCCTCTCCACGTTGCAGCTCTGAACCCAGACCTTGCTCTTTGAAGTGTACATAAACTTGTCAACCAGGAGCGTAAACTCCCCAGCCTCTGGAGCGTCCGCAATCAGATAAACATACAACCAGAACCGAACCGTCCCATCCTTGTACCAGTTGTAGCCAGGATGCCAAGGGATGGGTGCCCAAATCCCAGTCAAGGGGCTCCCAACAAGCCCCTGCTTCAAATCAAAATTCTCCACGTACATGTGGCCATGATTTCGAAACCCTCCTCGATCCTGACAGGCCTCAACTCTTGTTTGTGAGGCACCCACGCTTGCAATTCACCTGAGCTCGGCACCAGCACTAGAGACTCGCCCGCAAGATCCCTGTCAATCTCAACCGGGGCCATGTTAGTAAAAGGTGGTCTTTATTTTAGGGTTTAAAAAGGGTCAGTTAGATTTATCAGAGAGAGGTTTCGATCCTCCGACCTGTGGGTTATGGGCCCACCACGCTTCCGCTGCGCCACTCTGATCTTTACATAAAAAAATAATTAAATATCATTAACGACCTTTTTCCTTTTTCGTTTTTTTCCATGCTATCTGGCAAATTCTCAGAGAGAGAGAGAGAGAGAGAGAGAGGGGTGTGTGTGTGTGAGAGAGAGAGAGAGTGGCGATGGAGAATCCAGCAAAGGAAGTGCCGAAGGTGATCGAGGGGCTCGTCGGGCGGCCATCGCTCGCGCAGCAGCGCCAAATCCTCCACCGCTACTTCGCCCCGGATTGCGAGTTCTACCACATTTACATCAACACGCGCGGCCTGGAGGATCTCTCGTCCATGTACCAGTTCGCCGAGACCATGTTCAACTACCAGGGCGTCAAGTTCCACACCGTCGCCTACGACGCCGCTCAGGAGGTGGTGGCGGTGCGCATGACGGTGCGCATTCGCCCATGGATCCGCCTTGGCACGCCCGTGGATCTCGAGTTCTTCACGATGCTCGAGCTGGAGAAGTTCCAGGACGAGGTATTGGATTCTTCGTTTTCTCGAGAGTGTTGGAAATATTTTCTTCTTGTTCTTCTTGCAGGATGGAAGGGAGCTCAAACGCATCAAGGTGCAGCGAGATTTCTTCCAGCGATCGCCTCTGCTTCAAGCCATCCCCTTCTTTGGAGAGATCTACTCGTGGAATTTGTGGAGGGATCTCCTCGGCCGCGTGGACGCTGCCTTTTTCCGTCTCGTCCAGAGATTGGTGGCATGGGTCTAAAGTCTTGCATTGAGAATGGAAGTGAAAGAGAAACAAATAAAAAAAATCTTCCTTTCTGATGAATATTTTTTTTTTTTTTGCCTGTTCTTCGTGAGCTCCCACCATCACCAGAGCTTTTCGGCGATTTGCACGGCGTTGAGAGCTGCTCCTTTGCGTATTTGATCGCCGCACACGAATATGTCTAGCCTGATAGAAAATGCGAGCGTTTTCCTGGCTGAAATCCACAGTGCAAACGGGAAAAAAAAATTGTGCTCACCCGTGGTGGCCATCTTGAGAGAGATCGCGCCGTATCCTTCCCACAGCAACATCATCCGTGCTCGACACCTGGGGTTCAAGAAAGTGAAAAGTCTAAATCGAATCAAGTGTAGAACTCAGTACCTTTAGTGGGGTTGGAAAGGAGTTCGCATCCCTGTCGTCAATCACTGTAACTCCATTTGCGCTGGACAATATTTGTCTCGCAGTCTCCTGTTACTTCGTTTCAAGATCAAGATAAGCGATCGTGAATAGCAAGTCTACCTCGTCCACTGGCTTTTCGAATTGTAGATTAATGCTTTCGGCGTGGGCTCTCATCACGGGGACACGAACACAAGTAGCTGTGACACGGACTTCATCGTCATCCTGAGACACCATACGTCAAACTACAAGAAATAGCCAAGGAAAATAAAGTACCCAGATTTTTCGCGTTTCTTTCACAAGCTTAAGCTCTTCCTCGTTGTAGCCATTTTCCTTGACGGACGAGTTGTGGGAGAAGAGGTTGAAAGCGTACTGTGAGAGACAAACGTTAGCCATTCCTAAAAACCATATTATTTGGAAAAACCACCTGCTGGTTGAAAATTTTGCACGTAGGCTCTTTTCCTTCCAGGACCTCACGCGTTTGCTGCTCAAGCTCCGCCATGGCAGCGGCACCAGCTCCACTCGCAGCTTGGTAAGTGCTCACGACCATGCGCTTTACCTACAAACATCCAGTGTTACTAAAGCTTGGAAGCAGCAGGAACACATTCTTAAATCACCTTAGCGTGACGATGAAGAGGTGTGACAGCCATGAGGCAGATTATCGTGGAACAGTTTGGGTTGGCAATGAGAGCTCCCTTTTTGTTGCTCAATCTTATGTGTGCCATGGCATCTGGATTTACCTGCATTTTCTCTACAAATCAGCATTGAAAAACGCAACCAAAGAGAACTAACACGAACACTTGCCTCAGGAATGACAAGAGGAACACCATCCACCATTCGAAACGCGGAGCTATTGTCGACAACAATCACACCTTTGTCGACCGCAACTGGTCCAAATTCCTTGCTGCAAAGCTTGAGAGAGTTAGATTTTTCCTTCTCTAGCGTTAAGTTTCTCAAACCAACGTTACCTGATAGATCCACCAGCACTGAAGAGAGCAATGTCGACACCATTGAAGGATTCATCCGTGAGTTCCTCCACGACATAGTCCCGGTCCTAGAAAAGTAAAAAGAATCACGATCGATCCACGAGTGAAAGAAAGAGTTTCACACACCTGGAACGTCATGTGTTTGCCGGCGGATCTCTTGCTAGCCAGGAGCTTAAGCTTGCCATACGGAAAATCGCGATCGTCAAGAACACTAAGAAATTCCTGGCCGACGGCGCCAGTCACGCCAACGACAGCCACAGTCGGCCCATTCTCGCTCAGCGCCATCGTCACGACGCCGCATTGCTTGCGCCGGCTGGAGATTACAACCCTGTGCTGCGATCGCTGCGAAGACGAGGAGAGAAACGAAGAGATCTGGATGCTCCCGGGCTGGAGCTTGAGAAGCGCCATCACGTAAAACCCCAGTAGCCGCCATCACAGCAGTAGGGTTCTTCGCTTTTATATTTTTCGTTCGTGGAAGAGTGAAAGAGAGAGAGGCGCATTTCCGAGAGACAAATAAATTTCCAGGGTTTAGGGTTTTCTTGGATCGATCGTTGCCGCGGGCACGAGGATGATGGAGATCCTGCGCGAGCAGATGGGATTCTTGCTCGATCAAGGCTTGCACGACTCTGCAGAGATTTTGGTAGAGCTTTCTTGGATCTATTCGTGTGATTTTGGAGTGAATGGCGGCATTGCAGGGCTCGTTTCTTCTGTGCGCGGCCGCGTCCAACAACGATCTGGCTCCTACCGTTCGCGCCGAGAATATGGTATGGAGTTTCTTTGCGGGAGTGATCGCTTTTGTGAAATCTTTCTGTCGGTCTAGGTGTTGTTTGCCGATGCTTTGTATGGAAGAAGAGAGTACAAAAGGGCTCTTGTAAGTAGCGTTTTTTCTTTTGTTCCATGCTTGATCTGGTTTGTTTTTGTTTCCTGCTTTTCAGAACTTTTATCGGCAAGCATTACAACAATGTAGAGTAACGTTGAAACCAAACACGGCTGTCACGAGAAGCACTCTTTCTTCGACAGGAAGTCGACCATCGTCCGCAAACTCAAGTTATTGTGGTACTATCAATGACAATGAGGTATGCTTCGATTTTCTACGTTCCAGGCATCACTCTCGTTTCTCTTGTCTGTGTCTCCAGGTGAAGTACAAAATAGCTCTCTGTCATATGGGCTTGCGCGACACTCGCTCGGCTCTTACAGAGGTTCGTCTTGCCAAACATCTACAAGAGACAGAATAAATCCAACGCACCATCTTATCCCAGTGATTGCAGATGGAAGCCATACCATCAAAAGCCAGGACGCTGCGTATAAATCTCACGCTAGCAAAGCTCTACCGTGTTACGGGCTACGACCGAGCGGCGGTCGCTTCATATCGAGAGTGTCTAAGGTAGTTTCTCAAGTACTATCTGTTTGCTCTTTATCTGTTTTCTGACAGGCAATGCCCATACGTCTTGGAGGCCATTATAGCACTGGCTGAGCTTGGAATACCTGCGAAAGATATTCAGCTTCTTTTTCCTCAGGTATGAGAAGTACTTACATTTTGGAACTTATTTTTTATTTTATATGCAGACTCCTAGCAAGGTTGCTCGAGCACCCTCTGATGGTCACGAGTCTTCACGCTTACTACAGGTATAATGAAACAGGTACTGTTCGGAGTCTGATATATGTTTCCTTCAGAAACTTACTGAGGTTCATTGCGGGATTGCATCTTTGGACTACAAAGGTATCTATAATTTCTATGTTCTTGTAGTTAATTTCAGTTTCCTGTAGGAGCTTTAGAGAATTTAAACCAGCTCGCACAACGTTTTCCAAATAACCTACATGTTTTACTAGAGACAGGGAAGGTAATCGCTTATGAGAGTTTTCTGTTAACCGATAGGAAAAGTTCATATTTCGGTTAAATGCTCACATTCTGGCAGGTTGAAGGAGCTTTGGGGAGAGGCGATGAAGCAGTTCACAGCTTTGAGAAGGTGAGACCTTTTCTGTTTTCTATTACGTCGATTAATGCGTACGAAGTTTATGTTCCAGTCACGGCAAGTAGATCCCTGTAACTTGACAGATATGGACGAGTATGCGATGCTGCTTAGAATGAGAGGTGATACTGCCGAAATGAACCGTCTAGTTTATGACCTGCTCAATGTTGATGCCGGAAGGCCGGAAGTATGGGTCTCATCTGCTGTTTATTGGGAAACACGTGATGACAGAGTTCGCGCTCTTAGTTATGCTGATAAGGTGACCGCTATTCTTCAGGTATCATATTGATTAATCCGTGTTCGCTTTCAGAGTATACGTGTTGCTGACCGTCATACACCGGCGTATCTTCTGAAGGTACCCATATTTCGTTGAAAATAATCTTTTCTGATCCTTTTTTGAAGGGGAATCTATCTTTATCTTTGAACCACTCTGAAGCTGCTGTGATGGCTTTTAGAAAAGCTCAATCTTTAAAACCAGATCTCCGATCCTATCAAGGTATGAAAAACCGCAGAGCTTCGTGTATTCACTTCTTGTGTTGAAGGTCTTGTTAGATCATACCTTGCGTTATCGAAGAACAAAGAAGCTCTCTGTGCTGCCCGCGAAGCCATGAAAGCTATGCCTCATTCTGCCAAGGCTCTCACCCTCGTAGGTGATGTTTATGCACATGTTCCGGAAGGTCGAGAAAAGGTAAAGCAGCAAAGTTCCAAGATTTTTTACATGCCATGGTTTTTAATTTCCAGGCTCGCAAGTTTTACGAGTCTGCATTGCGCCTAGAGCCGGGGTATCTTGGTGCTGTGCTTGCGTTGGCAGACTTACACAGAATGGAGTCCCGCAATGAAGAAGCTACACTACTTTTGCAACGTTACCTGCAGAACTGGGCAGATGATGCTTTGCACACGAAGCTGGCACAGATACTGGCGCTCACAAACAAGCTGGGAGAATCTCTATCACATTATCAGGCTGCTCTGAGGTAACATGTCATCCTTGCGTTTCAAGTAATAATTGTGTCGAATTTTTGCAGCATCAATCCGCAAAACGAAGCAGCAAGAAAAGGCTTGGAACGTTTGGAAAAACAAATGAAGGGAGTGGATCCTGATGCACTTGAAGAGGACGAAGAGAATGAAGCAGAAGATGGAGAAGGGGACCCCGAAGAGGCCGAGTTCCTGTAGTAAGTTCCATTACAGCTTTTACATTACTACAGATTTTTACCTGTTGTATAACACTACCATTGGCTTACTCTTTGTATGGCGAGCATCGCTGGGCTCCGCCCTTGCTGGAGTGATAATCACAGTACCCAGTTGAGGCATTTTTCCAAAGAGCACGGTATCCTTACTGCCCAGGTTTCTAGCAGACGAAAGAAATTGAGATTGAGATGCAAGGCATCCTCGCAGTCCTCACAACAGCAATCTAGTCTTCTCAGCTTCCTTTGTCCGCTACTCAAGCTCATTGGGGTATGTAATTATCTTTTTTCTGCCATCAAACGTCTTCTGTCTAGAGTGGCGATCCATCGGCACCACGGAATGGTTTGCTCGAGGTGTGGAAGTTTTTCTTCTTTTCGACTTTCAAACAAGGATTGATTTATGTAGTCTGCGACGTCCGGAATTGCAAGCTTGGCAAGGCTGCCTTGGGGAAAGAACGTCAACACGCAGATTGTATCTTCACGGACGAAGCAACCACTTGAGCTCTTCAAGCTCTACGAATTCGGTAAAGCTTAAACTCTCGCATTTTTTGCTCGCCTGTTCATTTTTCTTGTTTGTATATAGAGGCCTGTCCCTTCTGTAGACGAGTGAGAGAAGCATTGACAGAGCTCGATCTTTCTGCCGAGGTAGTGTCTCGCGGAGGTTGCAGATGGAAACTTTTTCAATCTTTGTGTAGGTGTATCCGTGCCCAAAAGGATCTCGAGTCCATCGTGCGTTTGTGAAAGCGTCTGGAGGCAAAGAGCAGTAAGTGATACACTCTTGTCTGTAACAGATTCTCATCGAATATGACAGGTTTCCATTTCTCTTGGATCCAAACACCGGCGTGTCAATGTACGAGAGCTGTGAGTAATTTTTCTTTTCATCACAATCAGCTTGCATCAATGCCTCTCGCAGCCGATATTGTCAACTACTTGTTCCAGGAATATGGTGAGAGAAGAAGGCCAACATTCGGGATTTTAGAAAGGTAACAAGTTTTACTGAAGTGTAAACTCTTCGGTATTTCATCATAGTGTGTTCCAGCACTTTAGTCACTGGCTGGGTTCCGACGATAATACGAGCAGGGCGAGGCATGTCACTGTGGAATGGAGCATTGCCAGATCCTCCACAGAAGCTCCTTGAGCTCTACTCATACGAGAACAACCAGGTAAAGCGCTGTGTTTTCAAAGAATTCTAAAAGTTTTTTGGTAGTTTGCAAGGCTCGTAAGAGAAGCCCTGTGCGAGCTGGAACTTCCTTACATCCTCTGGAACACGGGCAAAGGGTCACTTAATTGCTCCAAGCTCAAGCAAATCTCGGGTTCAACACAGGTAACCTTTTGATCTATTTTTTCCCTTCATTATCATTGTCAAGAACAGGTTCCATATCTGGTTGATCCCAACACCGGCATACAAATGGCAGAGTCTCTTGACATAATCCGCTATCTCTTCGCTAACTATAATTCGAAGTGATGTTGATGCAGAGTTTCCTTGGATTGATCAGCTATCATCGTGTTTGGTACTAATAGTGTATCGAGCTTTACTCCCAAGAACAGCGTAGGAAATGGCAGTTGCTACCATCAGCAAACGGAGGTACCAGCTAAACAGCAGTGTTCCCACAACTATGGACTGGTTGGCTTTCTAGAACGTACGAAGGAGTGTACTAGAGAGAGAAAGAGTTTAGGGCAGGCATTCCTTTTGTACCCCATTTTCAAGAAATGAGGCATTTGGTGCATCACCTGGTCGCTTTTCTGCTACCGCCGGGAACGAGCTCAAGGTTGGGAGGTATGGGTCATGATGTGGGGATCGTTCGTGATTTGGGGTCGTGTCCTTCTTGGTAGGAAGAGAGGAAATTCTGCTTCGCATGCATCCAGGATGTCACGAAGTGCCCTGGGGGGAGGGTGTGATGTCCTGGACTGAGAAAACCCAAAACGATGGCTGGGACAGCAGTGCTTGGGCAGAATTCGAGAGCTTTGGATGCGCACACAGTGGCTATCATCCCTGGACACATTGATGAAAGGAAAGTGTTAGGTCTTTCTTTCTTGACTTCTCGACTCACTGACCAAACTTTTTGTGACGAGGTTTGAAGTTCTGGAGAGCAAGGACGAGCTTGATCTCATTGGACAACAACCACCAGAACCGCTGCGGCAGTTTAACCAGCGCTTTCAGTCTTATATTCGTAAATTCGTCCTGTGTGGCGACTTGATACGGCTGTGCATCACTTTGCCAAGTTCCAGCCTTCTTGGATTGGTCCTTATCAGGTACTTTCTCGTGCTGGCACTAATTCGTATTGGCTAGCAGAGTTGACGGGCAGGAAACCACCGAAGCCAATCAATGGAGTTGATCTCAAACGGTATTTCTTTTGACTGGTACAGTTCACGTTTCGTTTCTATTCTTTTAATGCTGTGAGTGTCTTTGCGAGAACTGTTTTGTTACTCACAGGCCCGAACCTGATTCGGGAGCAGGACACTGTCTCCTGGGATAAGTTCTGTCCCATTCGCGATGCGGAGACAGCTTGTTGAGGGGCACGATCCTGTGGTACGTAATGCTTCTCTCTCCCCTGTCTCTTGAGGTTTCCGATCGTCACAGTTCTGAGGTGCATTCTTTGTCTCAAATCGCTGAGAATGTTAATCTGCATTTCCTTGCTTTCTGTCATAACTGTTACATTTGAACTGCTTTCTATGTTTTCTTGTTCCGTGGTCTCGTTCGTCTAGTTGTGGCCTGTCGTTAACAATCTTTCACTGGGGATGGCCAAAGCGCTTGGTCTCTCTGGCGTTGGAAAGTTTCATGGCGGTTGGTTCTCGTTGACAGTTGGCCAAGTCGCTTGGTCCTTTCGGCTTGTCAATCGACTGCCTATGACGGGCTGCTTCAAGGATGGATGAGACACGGGAAAATTTGTGTGATGCCTTTCTGTGCTTATTGTCTTTCTTTCATACCATTGCCTCGGAGCTTGAACATCGATGCTACCTCAGAATCTTTGACTTTGGACCTTCAATCATCTCGAAAGGGAAACTGATTGCGGTGCTCCTGGCTCATGTGGAGTGGTGCCCCACTTGAGTACCTTGTGGCTCATTGGTCCTCGCCCTTCCTAGGGGCTTGGGCCTTCCCTTCGGGATGGAAGTGGGGGGTAGAGATACCCATACCGAGCCGTTAGGCCACAGTGTTTCACCCCAACGTCCCGAAGCAAGTGCTGCACCCAAGGCTTGGGATTTAAAGGGTCCCATGATCAAGTCTTGTGGTACCAAGGGGTGTTAGGAATCTGGAGGCTTGGTGTGCTTGGCTGCTTATGCCTGCGGGGAGTGTAGCCGAACCTTAAGTCCAGTCTAACCCGGGGAGGGGGATTGGGAGAGATTTGGGACTCATTCGCCCCTTGAGAGTTGCACACCATCAACACTGAATCTCTTAGTATCTGTGCACTTGGGACGTGCTTTCCCCAGTGAGTTGCCAAACTGGTACAATCCGAAAACGTACGGGAGAGTGTTATAAGAGAGTTTAGGGTAGACATTCTTTGGATGATGTTAGTGCAGAGGTCATGAAGGGAACCGCCATGGAGATGTGCTCCAGGTCGAGATAGCTTCGTGTCGGCTGGATATGCAGTGGAAGTCGAGATAGCTTTGTGTCGGCTGGATATGCAGTGGAATGACTCCAGCAGTTGAAGCCTGGAGAATCTTTTTGTGGTTGAGGAACTATATTTGTAATGAAGAGCAAGAGTCCAAATCTGCATCATTTATGACAAAAAATCAATTATAATAGAATTTGATTACAAGCAAAATGGTGAAAGGGCTGAAAGAAAATCGAAACTACTACAATGCTACTTTATGCAAGTAGACTAGCATATCATCAACCATTTTAGGGTTGATCATTATTTAACCAAAAAAGTTTGTAAATATATTACTCACAATCACTAAGTTATAAATTAAAAATTGATGAACAATTAACCTGAATATTTATTGATGCTAAAGATTGGACAAAACGAGATCAGGACAATATATTATTTTTGTATTAAATTTTTCCATTTGTATCAACTTCTAAACTCAAGTTGTATAAACTATAACTTAAAAATAGTTATAAGTTTCCCACCTAATTTCATTTAACTCTAAAATTCATTGAGTTAAATTAAATTTTAGCATTATTGTTTATCTTCTATATTTTATAAAATACATTTAAAATTCAGTAAGTGGTGTAAAATACAGTTTAATATGTAAACACATATTAGGCAATTCTACAAGGCACAAAACAAAAATCCTCAGTTTATATTAACCAAATAAATAAGTAATTTATATTTAAGTTAACATATAACTTAATAAACTAATAAATAAAAAATTTTAGTTTTTGAATTAGATATTTGTAAGTTTTAAAACTAAATCTGATCTACATTCCATTCAAATATATCATATCAATAAATATTTTTCTAACACTATTTTGTATTGTTTCAAGTTGAATATATCTATATTTGTAGACACAAATATTAATCTTTTAGCACCTGATTATTGTTGAATATCCAAATACTAATTCAAACACTTTTAAAAGGAGCTTTAGGTCACCAAGGGTAGTAATATGCTTTTTGCAAGCTAGGAATAATAGAAATTGTTACCGTCACACTTGAGATCATGAAATGCAAAGATCCTATTTGGAAAAGGATGTCTTTTGAATTCAATAACATGCTTATTAGCCATCTTAAGACTTGATAGCTTGCAGGGATAATATTCCAAATTATTGACAGTAACCATAATTGTGCAGCTTCTTTTGGATGTCAATAGACATGTCTTAGCCTGCCAAAAGATCAATATATAAGTTTGTTAAAATTTTGCCTTCAACTCCACTTTCACTTGCTTTGTCATGTTTGAATGTAGACTTAGATAATTTTTTGTCCAAAAGTAGAACTTTGTTCATGACATCAAAGAACTATAGTTTTTGGTAAAGTTGAGTGAGGATGATATCTGACAATATTATTGTGATGATCTTGCAATATTTATAGACTCAAAATGATGGTATAATCTAGTTCAACAACCCAATCAATTTTATGTTTATGATGTGCTATAAGGTATGTCTTTCCTTCACTTTATAAGGGATTATTTATATTTTTTTTGTTTCTATCCTTTAGTAAAGGTCAAGCAAGATGTATATGAACTTGTGTATATGGAGAAGAGTTGGGAAGAGCTCTTGGCTGAGTTTTTATAAATTGAGTATAAAATTCAATATGTAAAGTCTTCAAAGTTGAAGACACTAGTATGCATTACAAACAATCATAGGCCAAAGGAGTAGCTAAAGAGTATAGCTAAACTTTATACTCATAAATATAAATTTCTTATTATGTGCTTCATTTTTCTCAATTACACATATTGCTTTTGTAGTGAACAAAACTTTAGATGATATGATTTACAATATCACAAAATTGATTTCCATACAAATAACAGATAGAGACTCTAAAGTTCCCCAATGTCTACTTGATGAACAGAGAAAAAAGGCTGTCATAAGTATTTGAGAACATGATAAGCAGGGTTATCTATATCATGCAAATTGTGAGCAGGGTCTTGGGATATTTAATATCAAAGAGTGGGGCTCTTGGGGAAAGTTGTAGTTCTCAATTTCTCATGAAAGTGTGAATTTACAAGGAAGTGTGGTGGATTGTAAGCAATTAAAGAGAATGACTTGAGAAATAATCTATAAAGGTTCAAATATAAAGGGAAAACCCATGAATAAAAGTGCACCCTTTTTTCCAATTGATTAAAGGTCTTGGGTTATTTGGAGTTAAATGTCTTTAGGTTTGAATAGTACTGGGCTAAGTGACCTCATGGGAAGTTCAAATTCAATTCAATGACGATGCAAGTGACAATGGAGATGAGGATAAGGAAATTCCAAATCAAACTCATATTCCACCACCTGATAACCAGGATCAAGCTCTAATTTCACTACCAAATGATTATATGATAGTAGGGTTTCTTATTCATATAACTCTTCTATAACTGATAACATATCAAGGCATTGTGGGTGTCTTCATTGGCTCCTATAGTAAATTGCTGATATCTTTCACAAAAGACGACATGAACATGGAAATACAACACTAGTTTGACCATTAGTGCTAAAAGGTATAAAAACCATTGCAAACTTCATTCTCTTCAACTTTCCAAATAGTTTTCAAATATTGATGGGAAAGTTGAGGACTAGAAACTTTCTCACACCTAACCACTTGTGTGATATATTCTTCTTGTCATAAACATTTCTATACGAAGTTGGCTATATAATTTTTATCTTACTAAATGACCCCAACTGGATGTATGAGCTTATGATGTGTGTAGCAAAAGTTTATTTCAAGTCATTCTCCTCCAAATGCATCATGGATCCTATTAACATCAATATTAAGGGCATTCAAAGTAAGTGAGTAAGTATTTCATATTTTTATTTAATTTCTAAACTTTCTCATTTTCCAAGTTATGATGTGAACTGTTGCAAATATGACTTTAGGTATCAAAAGTTACCTGTTAGTTAATCCTTGTGGATGTTCTTTCCTTACTACCATGATAGCAAGAGGTCAATATTGTTGGACCCTTTTTTTTAATCTCCGCCTAAGGTAGTTAGGAAATTGGTCTTTGCATATGCACTTGACTAGATGAGCATCAGGACAGAATTCCTAAGTGCTATTAGTAAAATATATTTGACTTAGTTAAAGAAACTCATTCATTGACTTGCACTTACTAGTGTTGGGAAACCCCTATGATATTAAGCTTGGTCCCTCAATATTTGTCAGATGATAGTTTACCGTGTTTACCAAACACCCTTGCTATCATACACTTTGTGTTAATACCATTCAGTGAAACGTGTATATACATTCCCCAATGTCCTGTAGGGATTAATACAAAAACCAGGCATGCTGCCCAAAGGTCATGCTATCTAGTGGAGATCTCCTTCATCTAAAGTGAGACTAAGCCTACAGTACAAGCGGCTACTGTTGCCTCCATTGTATCGCATCCAGATCTAAGTCCCCCCTTTGTGTTGACTGCAAGATTGACTCCGGGGGGTGCCATCTCCAATGAACCTTATTGTGGTCTCCTTCACCGAAACATGGTAGCCATGCTTTTTGCCACTCCTCGAGCCTCTCAAGCTTCCCCCTGTCTTGGAGGATAGCATGGTGAAGTCGTACTGCCCCCAATGTAAGTCTCCACCATTCTGCTAGTACCTGTGATACTTTGACCTATGTCCCGTCAAAGTGCACCCAGTTACGTGCTTCCCAAAGGGCTTGGACTCTCATCACACGCCATACCACCCATCAAGCATGGCCAAGTGCCTCCCACACGGGGACTCCTATCTCCACCCCAGTCATGTCCTAGTGGACCTGAATCCCCCAACCGTGTCGTCCTTTGCACCTGATGTGTTGCAGGGCTGGGCCCTAAGCAGGACCCCTCGCTCCCTCAAACCAGTGGAGCACATCCCCACTGTGGGCCTCAAAATCCTGTGTAATGCCTAGCTCTTTCCCTACCTTAATGATCTGGCACCACACCTCCTTTGTAGTGTCGCACTCCCACAATGCATGCTTGACTGTCTCAATTTCACCACACTCCTTGCACGTGCAACTCACGTCATCCTGGAATTGCTGTCCAACTGAGAGACCATTATTCGCTACCAACCAGGAGGTGACTTTCACTTTTTTCCTGCATGGGCAGCTTCTAAAAGTGAATTGTGTTGTCCACCACTTGCTCCGTGTCAACCCCCTGTGCTATCCACTTTTGCCATAGCTTTGGAATCTCCTCTCTTGCCTCCTCCCATGATGTCAGTAGTCCATTCCACGCTTCCTTGACCGCACAGGAGAAAAAGCTTCCCATCCCTCGTCACCATGTGGCAGGGTCCCAGTCCAGATCTTCAAGCAGCTGCTGTCACCACCATATCAGTGGTCCATCACCCTCTAGCAAGTCTTCTGATTCCACCACGTCTAGCCTCTTGGGTGACTGCCTAAGCACACGAATCCTCCCACATACCTCATTGTTCGTGACGTCTGGCATCACTTGTCTCTCAGCCGTTGGGAGGAGCATATCTCCTCTTGTGACGCAAAAAGGCCATCCTATGTTGTGCTCTGGTGCAGTGACGAACCACACCTCGACATCCCCTTCTTCCCATGCTGGTGTAGGTGTAGTGAATGATTGAGTCCACTTCCCCAATGGATGTCGCACTGCATCGTGCTCCTCCCACTATGTTTGCTACTGAATTGCCACAAAGTCCCCTGCTTTAAGGCATCTTCTCGGCCACTTCGTCCCTGCTTTCGTGTCGTTCACCACCTGGAGGAGTCGCAGAACGTCTAGCAGGATGTTGCATCGCTTCCAAGGTCCAAAAACTTGAGTCCTTCTTGCTGTTCACCACCAATCCCTGTCGATCATTCCCGCCAGTTGTTTCATGGTCCAAAAGCCATTTGCATGCATTTTTCTCCAGATTGTGTGGTGAGTCTCTTGTCCCAGTGTCACACCTCCCACTTTGAACAGTGCATTGAAAAACAGAGACTGGTTAAGCCACTCCTCGGCCCTGGTCGGTGGTACTTGCTCCAGCGGAAAGGCTTTCCACAGTCGGTGAAGGCTCTGGATGAAGTTGCCCCCTTTCACTACTTGAGTTGGTCCTTTTACAAAGAGCCACCATGGGTCCTCCTCCCAGGGTTTGGCTGCATTGTGTTTGGGGTGTATCGCTAGGAGGCTCTGCTAGAACATGAGTCACCACGGCTGTCTCCCCTGTTGCAGTCCCATAAGAAAAATCTTGTACCTCAACACCTTCGCCATGTCGCTGGGGTCAATGATCCCGAGCCCTCCTAGGATGCACAGCCTCGCTGTAGACTGCCATGCCACCTTGGCCATGGTTTGCCCTGTAACCAATGCTCCACGCCATACGTAGGTTCGCACCATCTATCGCACCTTCTACAATGTAGTTTCCAACACCGGCCAAATCGAGAGGTGGTACCAGATGTTAGGGAGGATCATGCCCTTGACTACTACGATCCAAGCTGGGAGCCCAAGTTTCCTCAGTGTTCATTTCTGAACTGCAGTCTAGATCCTCCTGAGTAGTGTATCATCCTGTGTGGCCACACTGTACTGGACCCCAACCTGGATGCTGAGGTACCGAGTGTCTTTGCCACTAATATCCTATCTCTTGTCCCCAAGCCTCGATGCCTGGCTTTCCCCAGTTCACTCCTACTAACTTGTTCCAGTTTATAGCTACTCCCGCTGCCATGTTGAAGATCTTGAGCTTGGACCTTGCTGCGTCCAGGTTCCTTGGGGTGGCGAGCAGGAAAAGTGCAATATCATCTGCAAATGCCCCATCCTACAACTCTTGTGTCACGACTTGAGTTCCCAGGAGTTGTAGTTGTTCAGAGGGCAGCACCAGGCCTTTTATATCCCCTCCATGTACGAGGAAAGAGCCCAGTGTCTCTGCTACTATCAAAAACAGGTATATGGGTATGTAATTATCTTTTTTTTCTGCCATCAAACATCTTCTGTCTTGGGGAATTGGAAGCTTGGCAAGGCCGCCTTGGGAGAGAACGTCAAGACACAGATCGTACCTTCAACTTGAGCTCTTCAAGCTCTACGAATTCGGTAAGCTTAAACTCTTGTATTGCAGTTGTTTGTTGATTTTTCTTTTTTGTATATAGAGGCCTGTCCCTTCTGTAGACGAGTGAGAGAAGCATTGACAGAGCTCGATCTTTCTGCCGAGGTAGTGTCTCGTGGAAGTTGCAGATGGAAACTTTTTCAATCTTTGTGTAGGTGTATCCGTGCCCAAAAGGATCTCGAGTCCATCGTGCGTTTGTGAAAGCGTCTGGAGGCAAAGAGCAGTAAGTGATACACTCTTGTCTGCAACAGATTCTCATCGAATATGACAGGTTTCCATTTCTCTTGGATCCAAACACCGGCGTGTCAATGGATGAGAGCTGTGAGTAATTTTTCTTTTCATCACAATCAGCTTGCATGAATGCCTCTGGCAGCCGATATTGTCAACTACTTGTTCCAGGAATATGGTGAGAGAAGAAGGCCAACATTCGGGATTTTAGAAAGGTAACAAGTTTTACTGAAGTGTAAACTCTTCGGTATTTCATCATAATGTGTTCCAGCACCTTTAGTCACTGGCTGGGTTCCGACGATAATACGAGCAGGGCGAGGCATGTCATTGTGGAATGGAGCATTGCCAGATCCTCCACAGAAGCTCCTTGAGCTCTACTCAAACGAGAACAACCAGATAAAGCGCTGTGTTTTCAAAGAATTCTAAAAGTTTTTTGGTAGTTTGCAAGGCTCGTAAGAGAAGCCCTGTGCGAGCTGGAACTTCCTTACATCCTCTGGAACATGGGCAAAGGGTCACTTAATTGCTCCAAGCTCAAGCAAATTTCGGGTTCAACACAGGTAACCTTTTGATCTATTTTTCCCTTCATTATCATTGTCAAGAACAGGTTCCATATCTGGTTGATCCCAACACCGGCATACAAATGGCAGAGTCTCTTGACATAATCCGCTATCTCTTCGCTAACTATAATTCGAAGTGATGTTGATGGAGAGTTTCCTTGGATTGATCAGCTATCATCGTGTTTGGTACTAATAGTGTATCGAGCTTTACTCCCAAGAACAGCATAGGAAATGGCAGTTGCTACCATCAGCAAACGGAGGTACCAGCTAAACCGCAGTGTTCCCACAACTATGGACTGGTTGGCTTTCTAGAACGTACGAAGGAGTGTACGGGGTGATCTGGACTAGAGAGAGAAAGAGTTTAGGGTAGGCATTCCTTTTGTACCCCATTTTCAAGAAAAGAGGCATTTGGCGCATCACCTGGTCGCTTTTCTGCTACCGCCGGGAACGAGCTCAAGGTTGGGAGGTATGGGTTATGATGTGGGGATCGTTCGTGATTTGGGGTCGTGTCCTTCTTGGTAGGAAGAGAGGAAATTCTGCTTCGCATGCATCCAGGATGTCCCTGGGGGGAGGGTGTGATGTCCTGGACTGAGAAAACCCAAAACCATGGCTGGGACAGCAGTTCTTGGGCAGAATTTGAGAGCCTTGCATGCGCACACAGTGGCTATCATCCTGTTTAAGTCTTTCTTTCTTGACTTCTCGACTCACTGACCAAACTTTTTGTGACGAGGTTTGAAGTTCTGGAGAGCAAGGACGAGCTTGATCTCATTGGACAACAACCACCAGAATCGCTGCGGCAGTTTAACCAGCGCTTTCAGTCTTATATTCGTAAATTCGTCTTGTGTGGCGACTTGATACGGCTGTGCATCACTTTGCCAAGTTCCAGCCTTCTTGGATTGGTCCTTATCAGGTACTTTCTCGTGCTGGCACTAATTCGTATTGGCTAGCAGAGTTGACGGGCAGGAAACCACCGAAGCCAATCAATGGAGTTGATCTCAAACGGTATTTCTTTTGACTGGTACAGTTCACGTTTCGTTTCTATTCTTTTAATGCTGTGAGTGTCTTTGCGAGAACTATTTTGTTACTCACAGGCCCGAACCTGATTCGGGAGCAGGACACTGTCTCCTGGGATAAGTTCTGTCCCATTCGCGATGCGGAGACAGCTTGTTGAGGGGCACGATCCTGTGGTACGTAATGCCTCTCTCTCCCCTGTCTCTTGAGGTTTCCGATCGTCACAGTTCTGAGGTGCATTCTTTGTCTCAAATCGCTGAGAATGTTAATCTGCATTTCCTTGCTTTCTGTCATAACTGTTACATTTGAACTGCTTTCTATGTTTTCTTGTTCCGTGGTCTCGTTCGTCTAGTTGTGGCCTGTCGTTAACAATCTTTCACTGGGGATGGCCAAAGCGCTTGGTCTCTCTGGCGTTGGAAAGTTTCATGGCGGTTGGTTCTCGTCGACAGTTGGCCAAGTCGCTTGGTCCTTTCGGCTTGTCAATCGACTGCCTATGACGGGCTGCTTCAAGGATGGATGAGACACGAGAAATTCATGTGTGATGCCTTTCTGTGCTTATTGTCTTTCTTTCATACCATTGCCTCGAAGCTTGAACATGGATGCTACCTCAGAATCTTTGACTTTGGACCTCCAATCACTTGGGATTGAGACTCATTCGCCCCTTGAGAGTGCACTCCATCAACACTGAATCTCTTAGTATCTGCGCACTTGGGACGTGCTTTCCCCAGTCAGTCGCCAAATACGAAACGTACGGGAGAGTGTTATAAGAGGGTAGACATTCTTTGGATGATGTTAGTGCATAGGTCATGAAGGGAACCGCCATGGAGATGTGCTCCAGGTCGAGATAGCTTCGTGTCGGCTGGATATGCAGTGGAATAACTCCAGCACTGCCAAGGAAGAGAACATAGAATTCAGGTGGTTTTACAACAAACCTGGAGAATCGCTCAGGTTTTTTGTGGTTGAAGAACTACATTTGTAATGAAGAGCAAGAGTGAGGCATGCAATCCATGACCTAGGTCAATCTGCTGAAATTTAAGTTGAACCTAAGTTGCAAAGATTGCAGGAAATTTCACTAAAGCATAAAATAGTGATAAAGTCATCTCTTATCTGTAAATTGTTTTTTAAGTTTTGCCATCTTGAGTTTAAGTATCAGGTGTTGAGTAGGATTGATGCTAATCTACCGTCAAGCATACAACCTTTTACATATTTATCTAAATATTTATTTCGAAATATTTCTGATATGTAGATGATAAAAGAAAATTTAAAAATTTTAAATATATTTATTCAAAATGAAAGTAATAAAATACTTTAGTTTTATATTATTTTAAAAAATTATAAGTTAAATTTTTAGTTTAATATAAAATAATGGTAACATGAAGAACAACAATATTTTCTAAATTTTGTAATATACTTCTTGTTTGCATCCTTTTTAAAAATATATATACTTATTTATCAGTTTTGATATAAAAAACTTGATCTTGTAAATCCATGTAATAACTATAATTAAGATAAGGTTATTGCTAATGGCAATCCCCTTGCACCATTTATGATAAAAAATAAATCTCAATAGAGTTTGATTACAAGAAAATGATGAAAAGGAAACACAAAAGGAAGTTAAGCAATATAAATTATAACTAAACTTAATTCAATTTATAAATATTGATTATTAAGGTTAAAAATTGTCAATGTTGTGCCATTTCTAGCCTCCTGATAAGAGTTGTATCACCATGTTTGTGTATAAGTGATATAATCTTAACAATTGCTCAATGTGGCCATCTTCCAATTGCTATCATATTATTCCATATGTGTAATAACTCTGCCCCAATCCAATCCTAATGTTTTTAATTCAAGGGTTTGTTTTAAATAGCTATTAATAATATTTCATTATCTTATGCATTTTTTGGAGGCTTATGTGCATCATATCATAATCATCCATAAAAGAGATGTATTGACTTGTAAAATTCCTTATAGAACAAGTTTTCACTAATAAACCTTTTTAAATATCTAAATTTAATTAATGCCTCCATTTTTTCTGCTTCTAAAGTAAACAATTACTCCTTTATTTTTGATAGTTAGGTTTAAAATGTAGAACTTTTTAATTGTTGCTTGATCAATATTTTGATAGCTTTTATATCCCTTTTAATGACTTATATTTTATTAGATCTTCTCCTTCACTTAGTCTATGTTTTTTTCATGGAGCTCACTGGTTATTTTAACCATGAATTTGTTAACTTCCTAGCTTTCTTTTATACAATAAATAGTGTATGTGTTTTCAAAGTGTTTTTTTGATAATGTAGGCTTCTTGATTCCACATCTTTAAGGATTAATATTGTTAACAAAACAGTGATCCAAGAAGTCTTTATACTCTATAGAAATATTTAGTTTCTCATTATTATGACATAAATTTGGTGACAAATAAAAATGTTTTATTTTTCTTTGATAAAATTAAAATCTCCAGTAACAATCAATGTTGAAGGTTACAAAGGGAGCTCCTTTAAGATCTCTTGAAAAAAACAACCCCTCTCTAATGAATAACTTACCAATGCGTATACATTTAGAGAGCATTAGTCATATATTTGATTTTAAATTAAACACATTACACTTGATCCCAGAACCAATATTATGTCTATTATAAAGTAACTCCCACAAACTTTAACCATTACTAGCATCCCCCTACTACATTCTATTGTCAAGTTCCAAAAGTTTTTTTTTTTTTGCAAACTTATACACTAAATTCACACTTGAAAGACAATGCTTTTGCATACATAAAAAATCATTTGTGATATTCCTTATGATGTTAATAGAATTATCATACATACTTACTATCACGAAACTCGTTATGCATGTTTTTGTAAAAGGCATGATATGTCCATGTAACACACGTGGTTTTCACCCTTTATTTTATGGTGATTTACCATAGGATAACCACAAAGTGGAATCTAAACCCTCCATATGCCATATGCCATATATCACATATCCAATGGACAGCAAAGTGGAACTCGAGTTTTAAGGCCACTCATTGGGCCACTGAATGAAGATACGGAGCTAAACTCCCAAACTTGCAGCTGGGTCTAAGTCCAAGTTCCATACCATGTTAATTAGTAAATACCCATATCTTTATGTTAGACCACTGGTATATTGAAATAGTGTCAAACTTTATTTGGGTCCGTTTTGCATGCTAGTCTTGGTATTAGAATGTTGAATGCTCTAAGACTGTTTCTACATCACTCCATACTCCTGTCTCTTCACTTTTTGGGCTGAATGTTCAAAAATCACACCATACTCCAGTTCTTTCACTCATTAAGTTGGATGCAGAACAAAGATACGCATGCAAATAAGAGTTAAATTATGCCTTAAGTTAGTCGGCCATGCCTGACTTACCCACTATCCCTACTATATATTTGGAAACTTTGATAGCCCCCCCTCCTTGAGGAACATATGCTTTGGGCTTTCAACTTTAACTACCCTTAGTACTAGGAGTTAGTCTCTAGAACTAACTTGAAACTTATTAAATATGGAATGTCTCTAGATTGTAAATATGAATACGAGACCAACACTATTGTGGTTAGAATAATCTTTACATTCCGTAGATATGCCAAATAAGTAGATCTAGACACTTTCTATAAATAGCATTTGGAACCAAATGGTACTAACAGAAGGCATATGATAGTGAGGGTGTTTGGCAGACACGGTAAATTATCATTTGGCAAATATTGAGAGACTAAGAAAAATTTTACGAGGGTTCCCAACATTAGTAAGTGCAAGTCAATGAATGAGTTTCTCTAACCAAGTCAAGTATGTTTGACTAATAGCACTTAGGAATTCCATCCTGATGCTCATCTGGTCAAGTGCATACGTAAAGACTAGTTTCTTAATTAGCTTAGGCGAAGACTGAAAAAAAAGGTTTAGCAATACTGCTTGCCGTCGTGGCAATAAAGAAAGAATATCCAAAAAAACTAGCCGATAGATAACTTTTAATACCTGAAGTCACTTTCGCGACAGTCCACATCATAACTTGGAAAATGAGAAAGTTTAGAAATTAGATAAAATATGAAATACCTACTCATCTTTTTAGGCTTACTTTGAATGCCCCTAATATCGATGCTAATAGGATCCATGGTGCATTCGAAGGAAAATGACTTGAAATAAACTTTTGCTACATACATCATAAGCTCATACATCCAGTTGGGGTCGTTTAGTAAGATAAAAATGACATAGTTAACTTCGAGTAAAAATGTTTATAACAAGAAGAATATATCACACATGTGGTCGAGTGTGAGAAAGTTTCTAGTCCTTGACTTTCCTATCAATATTTGAAGACTATTTGGAAAGTTGAAGAGAATGAAATTTGCAAGGGCTTTTATATCTTTCAACACTAATGGTCGAACTAGTGTTGTATTTCTATGTTCATGTCTTCTTTTGTGAAAGATGTCAGCAATTTACTATAGAAGCCAATGAAGACACCCATAATGCCTCGATGTGTTATTGGGAAAACAAGACAAACCTATAGAAGAGTCATATGAATAAAAAAGCTACCATCTTATGATTGTTTGGTAGTGAAATTAGAGCTTGATCTTGGTTATCAAATGGTGGAATATGAGTTTGATTCAGAGCTTCTTTATCCTCATCTCCATCATCACTACATCATCATTAAATTTGAACTTCTCATAAGGTCACTCAACCCAATACTATTTAAACCCAAAGAAGTTTAACCCCCAAATAGCCTACCAATTGGAAAAAACAGTGCCCTTTATATTTGAACCTTTATAAATCATTTCTCAAATTAGTTTACAATCTACCACATTTCCTTGCAAATTCACGCCCTCCTGAAAAGTTGAGAACCACAACTCTCCCTGAGAGCCCCATTTTTTGATATTAAATATCCCAATACCCTACTCACAAATTGCGTGATATAGATAACCCTCTTTATCATGTTCTCAAATACTTTTGACAGTTTTTTCTCTCTGTTCATCAAGTAGATATTGAGGAATGCTAGAGTCTCTATTTGTTTTTTGTATGGAAATTAATTTTGGGATATTGTAAATCATATCATCTAGAGTTTTATTCACTACAAAAGTAATATGTGTAATTGAGAAAAATGAAGCATAAAAAATTTATATTTGTGAGTATAAAGTTTAGCTATACTCTCTAGCCACTCTTTCAACTTGTGATTGTCTGTAATGCATATTAGTTTCTTAACCTTTGAAGACTTTACATATTGATTTCTATACTTAATTTGTAAAAACTCAGCCAAGAGCTCTTCTTGACTCTTCTCCAGATACACAAGTTCATATACATCTTGCTTGACCTTTACTAAAGAATAGAAACTAGAAAAATAAAAATAAAGTGAAGGAAAGATATATCTTATAGCACACCATAAGCATAAAATTGATTGGGTTGTTGAACCAGATCATACTATCATTTCAAGTCTATGAGTGCTGAACAAGTGTTGCAAGATCATCACAATAATATTGTCAGATATCATCCTCACTCTGTCAAGACCCCCAACAAAATCAAGACTCGAAAATGCAGAAGACAAAGAGAAAAGCTAGTGAAAACGAAAAAAAAACCTTAAACTGGCGTTGATTCAAATTGTGGAGAAATGGAACAAGGCTAACCTATATATACTATAGGTTGATGAAGTTCCACCACTCTTGGATCGGAGACGGCCTAAATATAGCTAAGGTCGAGGAGGCACCACGTCATCATCAAGAATGTGGCTCGAGATTTAGGAATCGTACAGGAAATCAGAGAGTCAGGAATAGGGAAGTGTCTTGAAAGTCAAGAATATGGTCTGTAGGTCAGGAATCCAGTGAGAGTCAGGAATGTGGCAAGAATTGGGGGATT